CAGCCTGGATTGGCTACAGGAAAGCCTGTGACTCAATGCCCCACACATGGATCTGTGAATGCCTGGCACTATACAAAGTCAACAGGACACTAAGGACCTTCCTCAAGAACTCAAGGGGACTGTGGAAGACAACACTGGAAGTCAACTCAAGAAAGATCGCACAAGTGGCCATCAAGTGCGGCATATGAAAAGGTGATGCACTGTTTCCACTGCTGTTCTGCGTAGGCTTGATCCCCCTTATCCAGATAATCACAAGGACTGGATACAGATACAAGTTCAAGAGTGGAACTACCATTAGCCACCTCCTCTACATGGATGACATCAAGCTGTATGCCAAGAATGAATGAGACATCGATTCACTGATCCACCTGACACGGATCTACAGTAAGGACATTCAGACTGGAGAAGTGTGGCCGGATGGTAGTAAAGAAGGGGAATGTAATTAAGACTGATGGGGTGGAACTAACAGCAGGCCACATAGCAGACATACAGACCAGCTACAAGTACCTTGGTATCCCACAGTCACATGGGAACCATGATAAGGAGGCAAGGAAGACAGCAACATTCAAGTACCACCAAAGGATAAGACAGATCCTGAATAGCCAGCTCAATGGGAAGAACAAGATCCACACCATCAACACGTACACCCTGCCAGTCATCAGATTCCCTGCTGATATAGTGAGCTGGCCAAAGGAGGACATAGAGGCTGCCAATGTGAAGACCTGGAAGCTCCTTACAATGTACAGAGGTTTCCACCCCAAGTCCAGCACCCAGAGAATATACACCAGCCGGAAGGAGGGCAGGTGGGGTCATGTGTGTGTCAAAGCCGCTGTCCTGGATGAAACTCAGAGCATCCAAGAGTGCTTCTGTAAGATGACACCCAAAGATGAGCTGCTGAGAATGTCTGACAGCAGCAGCAGACAGGGGAGGAAGTTCAAAAATAATAAATTATTGGCATTTGACATCATTACTGGTCAGCATTTATTATAGAACAGTATAAAAATTCTTTGTACCCTCAAGTGTGCAGGACTTTGTATTCTGTCCCCAGTGGGCTGAAGCAGATCATGTGGTCTGCACTTGTAAATTGCATCATGGGGAATTTTTCCCTTCACTACAAGTACATCAGGGTTGCTTTTCTTGCAGTTATCTGTGCGCTCATGGACATAATTGATATAAACTTTTTTCTACATGCTTGTGTGTGGAGAGGAAATACAAACTAACTGGAAATTGCAGACTTCTGCATATCTTCTGGTTCTGGAATGAATTTTAGAAAATCTCTTAACACCTGGTCAAGACTGAAATTGCAAAAACAGCAAAGAAATGGCACAGGGGAAATCTGCTCATTTTTAATTAAAAGTCTTCATGCAGTGGAGTACCCTCTTGAGTCTTGAGACTGAATGCCTTGCTCATGAGAAATGTGTTGACAGTTACAAAGGAAGCAAAGTTCTAGAACATCAACCATCTAGAAAGGTGTTTCTCAACTTTGGCAACTTTAAGATGTGTGGACTTCAACTCCCAGAATTCCCCAGCCAGCCAGCCAGAGGTGAAGTCCACACTTCTTAAAGTTGCCAAGGTTGAGAAACACTGATCTAGAACGTCAACCATGGATAGCTAGATCCAGATTTAACAAAAAAGAAGAACCTCCTATAGCTTTCCCTATCTGGGTCACTCCAAACATTGTCTCCTACTCCCACCAGACTCAGCAGAATGGCCAATGTTTGAAACTGATGTAACACATGGCCCCAAGCCTCTGAAGAGACCTAGACTCGAGGAAAACTATTTGGTCTTCCTGTTTGAGAGGAAAATAATCTGAATTTCTGTTGTTGTTATTCCTTCAATCAGAGATTACAAAACAGGGAGAACAAGTTTCTGCAGCTGAAGCCACACTTAAAAAAAAAAAAAATCAGCCTCAGGGATGCAAAGAATCTGGTGGTGGTACAGAAGCCCCACCAAGACTTGTACAGTGAAAATAGCTATTTTTTCTAGCTTTGGTAGAGGGCTTTTATGGTATTTTTTTAAAACCAGAGGTCTTGAACCAACCAGAAATGTTTACTTGTTCTGTTTTTCTTAAAAATGGAAATTGAGTGTCATTGAATTTTATCAGAGCAGCCTGGAAGTAATCTGGAGGTCCATAGACTGCCTACCTGCAGCATAGCAAGATCCTTTTAGGAGGTTGTTTTTTTTAGGTAACAAATCCTGAGTAATTCTGTAATTGTATCATCTCAGATTGGAACTGGATGCAGAATTCATTGTCTGAAGAGATTTGCTTTCACTTCCTTGCAGCAAAACCTCTAATCTTCAAGGAAGCAAAAGAAGGACAAGTGTAAGGTCCAAGCCAAAAGTTCTCAGCAGGGAACTTTCAAACAAACTTGAGAGAACTTTTACAAGTTAGAAAGCAATGGTAACTTCACTTTTCTGTTTTGAGGGTGAAATGAGCAAAGCTTGTAGGTAGGGAGAAACACGTATGCTTGTGTCAGTCTAAAGCTGGCTACAACATCTGGTGTAGTGGTGCGGCCAATAATACCATGACATCAGAGCAGTCAGAACCCAAAGGCTTGGTTTATTTGTGCCAAAGGAGTGAAATGAGAGACTCAAACCTTAGTCCAAGTCTGAGAGCTCTGACTTAAAGTGTTATGTTGTCTTTTAACACCCCTATCCCTAAAATACAAAAATGCCAGGCCAAAATATTTGGTTCTGTCCATTCCAGGGGTGTTCTGGAGCCTCAGAGTGAGTTGGTAAGCTGCACGTGGTCTGTGGGTTGCCCACCCCTGCTCCAGAGACTGAGTGGGCTTCTGAAATAGTGATGGGGTATAAGTTGGATTTTGAGGGTAGCAATGATTCAAAACACAGTCTGGATAGCCACTCACAATGAACCCACAAGATGCAGTGTTGGGGGCCTATTATTGGGAAATCTGGGATTAGAAATTATGGCTGTTCAAATGCCCTCTTACTAGGCATTTTGTGATTTACAGTAGAATGTATGACTATTCTACCAGTGCAAATCGGTTGCCTTCAAGAAGCTATCTATGGTGTTTTCACTAATGTTGCAACTGTAAAGAATTGAATATGTATGTATGAAGATGAACCATGTTATTCAGTGTTCAGGATCATTCTTGGAAATCGACTCAAGTGGTAGGAGTTAGGACTACTCTGTAAATTTATATTTGTGGAACTTATTGCCATAAATTGTGCACATAGCCAGTAAGTTTAGATCGTTTACAAAAAAGAACTAACCATTTGTCAGAATCATGTCAGAAAAGATCATACCTTGTTAATATCATCTCTGATTTGTTCCATTACTGAATACTGTATAGTAGTGGTTGGTGGGGGGCAGGGGTGTCACCTCAATCCACACGGCTGTTGACATTCTCCAAGAACTCTGGGAAGTTGGTGAAAAAGGATTTGCCTTTAAAGAATCCATGCGGTTTGTTCCTCTATGGGCTTAGTTATTTTTTCTTTGATTATCATTTCTACCAGTTTTCCCATAACAGGCATTAAGCTGATCAGCTTATAATTTCACCTATTTCCCTGTTTAAAAATTGGGTTCACATTGGATAACTTTCAGTGAGCTGAATGTGAGGAGCACATTAGGTATCTTTGTTAGGAGGTCAGCAATTTCACATTTGTGTAGTTTAAGAACTCTTGAGTGGATGATGTCAGGGTCTACTGTGTGTACTTACTATGTGTGTGTGAGTGAGTGAGTGAGAGAGAGAGAGATGGTCCCTCAAAGCAATTGTGGCATCTCCTTATCATTCTAGAGCAGTGCTTCTCAACCTCATGCTGGCTGGGGAATTCTGGGAGTTGAAGTCCACACATCTTAAAATAGCCAAGGTTGAGAAACATTGTTCTAGTCATGGTATCTGCTCACCTTACACTTTGTGGGGTGCTGTCCAGGTGCTGAATAAGGCCAATAGCAGAAGTCAAACCAAGCTTCCCTCCCATGCAGCTTCAAGATGGTCTTCCCAGGACTGGTAGCCAGAGGACATGTTAGCTCAGAAACTCTGAGATATAGTCTTAACAAAACTGGAGGGTGCCAGGCTAGGGGAGGTTGGGTTAAATGATAGAAGAACAAATGTTCTAGACTAATGAACCACATCTACCATATCACTTTATGTAGTCTAACAGGATTTTCTTACATTTTTGTGATAGAAAGTAAGGAGCACCCATGTTCTAGATCAGTGTTTTTCAACCTTAGCAACTTTAAAATGTGTGGACTTCAACTCCCAGAATTCCCCAGCCAGCCAGTCTACACATTTTAAGGTTGCCAAGGTTGAGAAACACTGGTCCAGATCATAAGCAGGGACTCTGGTTCAGTGTTGTAAGATTAAAACCAAATACATTTGAATTCAGAAATAAGTTTAGAGGTTTCTTTCTTTTCCACTCAGGTAAAAATTGTGAATAATGTTAAGTCAGGATATGTTATGTTAAGGATTCTGCATTTTCATTTAAAATGTTCTTTAAAGATTATGAGGACCTGATAAAAGGAACAACAGGTTTTCTGAAAACTGGAAGGTATGTATCTACATATCTAATTATCTTTGTTAGGATTACAAATAAATAATATTCCCCTTAGAAATGAAAGTAGATTATTCAGAAATAAAGGAATTATCCAATGAGGAAAATTCCAGAAATTTGCTACTAGTAGCCCAAATTGTCATAGATCCATTAAATCCTTAGCTGCCATAACTTATGTATGATTGACTTGACAGTCCCTTACCAAGAAGCCATAACATAACTGGCAGAATAGACCGACTATATATTATAATGGAAACCCCTGTGAATTTTTGAGAAAGCACATTACAAGCTCCCCTAAATAGAAGGTCATCTGATTTTCTTACCATAAATTATGAAAAGGTATCTCTGGTTCCATATAATATTAATGGGTATGCAATTGCCTCCTTCTTTTTATTATATGTTCTTTCTTCTTTTCATTCCTCCTGCTCTCCAGGGCACACAGATGATCTTCAATGCAGCCAAGGAATTAGGGCAGCTTTCAAAACTCAAGGTAAGCAATGCAGCGGAATGTTAGCAATGGACAAGGTTGTTCCTTAGCAAAGTCAGGATCAGACAGAAAGCCAGCCGATGCTCTACCAGCATATTGAAAGAGGACAGAGAGGGACAATGACATCATAGAAATGGTAAGAACACAAATACATTTCTATCCAGAAACTATCATTGCTCTTGTTTTTTATACTTTTATATTACCCAAATTACCAGTTGCAACTAGAATTTTTGGGATGAAATACAAAGTTATACAAAGTTGCCTGAAACACCAAAAGCCATGTGTAAAAAGCCAGTAAAGTGTATTACAAATAATGCAAGAAATATATAATGAAACACATAAAAGCCATTGACCCTGTGCAACATTGCAACTAAAAATTAAAAATAACTAAAAATGCCTGGAAAAAAAGGAATATACCTGGTGCTGAAAAGAATGAATGCATTTCCCCCTTTTCAATCCTTCACTTTGTCTGCTATATCCATGTCACCTTAATTCTTAATTCTGGTTTAACTAGAAGAACTTATCAAATGTGCCAGTTTTTATTTAATCGACATCTCTCTCCTAATTGCTGGTATATTACATATGAACTTAAGTATTTGAGGGACCATATTTTTGGAATGTCCATGTGTGTTCTAAAGAAGGGACACATACAAGTATTAGTTAAACATCACACTAAAAGAGTCGCAGAATTGATCACCATCAAAATAGCTTTTGTGCTGGTTTTTATCAATCCTTTTATAGCACCTGGGCCAAAGGATCTAATTTTTCCCTGATGTATTCCAAATGAGAGAAAAAAGCATCTTAAAAACATAAACGTTCCCAGAAAGCCTTGGGCGGAGTCCAAAAGTTGCCACTCAATTCTTACTTTTATCCCTACAGAAGGGGTGAAAAAACTAAAAACTTTTTAATTTAACAACTCATTTAATTTAATTTTAATTATCTGTGAAAGAGATACATTCAAATGATCAAACTTCTTTCTTCTGGCCCACCCTACTTTTCAATCACAGCGTTGTGGCCACCATCTTGCCTTTTTTGACTGTACCCTGCAAACACCCTGCTCCTGAATTCAAAGTACCAAAATTTCACAACCAAGGAAAACAAAGGATGCTAGAGGCTAAACTTTCTGAATTCTAGATGCCCCCAGAGTAACAGCCCCAAAGCTACTGAAATGCAGGGGAAAAGAACTAGATGTAAATGTTCTCATCCATAGGGATTGACTTTGCTACTGCTTTCAACTGTCTACACTAGTGTTATTCAACCTTGGAAATTTTAAGATGTGTGGACTTCAACTCCCAGAATTCAAATGGGAGTTGAAGTCTACACCTCTTAAAGTTCCCAAGGTTGAGAAACACTAGTCTACACACTACAGACTGTGAGACAATGAATGAGGTCAAACAACACAGTAGGTCAAAATGTGGTTTTGTGGTTTGTGATGCCTTATATTGCACCAATTAAGTCAGTGTATTCATTTAAGATTCAGATTATTGTGGAAACTCATTAAACCAGATTAATTCAATAAACCATGGGTTGCATGAACTCAGTCAATAACTGATCAACCCACCTTCTGCATTCATCTTATAACAGAGAATTTTACTGGGCTCTTAAATCCAAATTTAAAGATTGGGGAAGAAAAGAAGGGCAAATCCTAACTTGTTTCAGACTTTTGGGAAGAGAGAAACTATATTGTTAGGAAGAAATTTATCTTTTTGTGCCTTGTGGCTATAGAATTTTTTTCTTCTTTCAGAGGGTGATTCTAAGAAGAAAGGTAGCCACCAGGGAATTGAACTGTGAGGGAACTTAGAAAAGTCCAAAAAACTTAATCTTCTTCTCCCATTCAAACCATCCAAATGTCCTTTCTGAATGTCTAGGTTTCCAAATGCATCTTCAAAGTGAATGTGTAGGGTGGCTTTTAGATATGTTTAGAAAATAGAAGTTGTGGGTATCTTGTGCAGACAGGTATTACATATCATGGCTTCTTCCTGCCAGGATCATATGGTACGTGAGGAAGCTAAGAGTTTGACACCCAAACAGTGTGCTGTGGTGGAACTTGCTCTGGATACTATCAAGGTGAGTAACTCTGTGTTTTCCCCATCCTGCATCCCAGCCAAATTCTAGATCTTGATAACCAGTTGAGAAGATCTTGGGAACAAGCAATTTCAGTGTGTACGTATGGGTTTAATTTGAATTCCCGTTTTCCAGTATTTGTCATTTTAGAATCAATGTAGTATGGTGGATAAACCATTGGGAAGTTCTGGTTCAGATTGCTCCTTGTTGAATAGCCTTGAGGAAATCACCATCTTGGATCCAATCTTAGCTGTGCTGGGAAGATAAAGTAGGATAACTTTGCTGATACCCAGTAATTTCATAGATATTTGTCATAATAGAGAAGAGTGGAAATGAGGTCAAGTGGTATAATGGCTGGAGAAGCTAGCTATCTGGGAGATTCCAGTCCCAACACCTCACAGTAAGGTAGAAGAAGCCCATCTTAGAGTGTGTGTGTATGTGTTTGTTTGTTTGTTTATTCATCAAATTTATATGCCCGCCCATCTCACAAGTGATTCTGGGTGGCATACAACAGAGCTAAAAAAAATCAATATATACAAAACAATCGTTATTAAAAAAGAAGCAATTTTTGAAGGGCTTTGGAGTTCATCATAGTGGTTTGCTTTTGGTATTATGCAGTGCTAGGATGATGGTATTGTTTAGCAACAGAGGTGCAGTAAGATCATTGGGTGGAAAGGCTCAAACAACATTGAGCTGAAGATCATACAGTTACATTTGCACAGGTCTGCTTAAGATTAACCTTAGTTAACTTGTATCTTGCACTGGGCATTGTCCAAACCCAGTCAGTTTGGTTTATTTATAGTACAGTTCATTATGCAAACCAGAAAAGGGTTAATTCAGTAATGAGATTAAGCTTGTTGTGTGAGTGCAGCCTGAATGACTACAGACATATGGAGGGAGAACTATAATTTCTATTTTTAAATGTAATAAATAAACAAAGCATAGCTACACAACAAACCCTCAAAGAAAATTGGACTCCCCCTGCTGTTAAAAGCCTTCTCCCCCAGTCCCCAGTCCAAGTGTGGCCAATAGTTGAGAGTCTTGAGGATACAGGGCTGGTACTGAAGTTGGATCTCCTGCTTTGCCCTTCCCTCTCTTTTCCCATCAGCAATACTTCCATGCAGGAGGAGTTGGTCTTAAAAAAACCTTCTTGGAGAAAAGCCCAGATCTACAATCCCTGCGCTATGCCCTCTCGCTCTACACGCAAGCCACAGACTTGCTCATCAAAACCTTCGTCCAGACACAGTCCACTCAGGGTAAGCTCCAAGATGGGTCTACATATGCTTGCTAAGAAACTGGGGGTAAGGAGTGAGGTTAGGTGGGTGGGAATTGGTGAAGGCCACAGACTTTTCCAAGGAGACTAAAGATGCTGTTCTTGGGGTACTTTGACCTTCAAGAGTCCTTCTTGTGTTCTTTATGTAGCTAAATGGAACCTCCACATTCAGTGGCAGTCCACATGAGTCACTCTCACTCTGCTGAATGAGGAAACATTAAAGAAAGGGAGTTAACTTCATGGACTTGCTTATGGGTTTCCTATTAGGGCTTCTGCTATTGTTTCGATCCAGAATCTACAGCGCGTATTCTAATAGAGGGCAAGTCTTTTGATATCTACTTATTAGGCTACTTCGGTAGCTATTACTAAATCTTCTGGGCAGCCAAGGTGAGAAGGCTGCTGGCCTCATGCTCCATTTGCTGCAAGGGGGCATCTGATTTGCTTCTGTGGGAAACTGTCAGGTTCAGCCCAAAGAACTCCCTGAGACAGCGCAGATACAGTTCTGTTGCGTTTATT